TGGGTGGGAAGGTGTTACACAAGTCCCTGGATGAGTGAACTAGCGTGGTGAGTACTGGTATAAGCAGGGGGCAGGAAGGTGAAATCCAAACTAAGATTCGGAAGGCAGGACAGAGTCAGGTCTTGAAGGGCTTTCCATCTTAAATGACAGTTTAAAACAACAATAAATAACACCTATACTATATACCAAGCTTTTTCTGCATTCATTACTGATTTTGACTCACTTCATCAGCACAACCACCCTAAAGGTAGGCAGTATTGTGCCAGCTTTACAGAAGAGAAAACTGAAGAGCACAGAGAAGCCAGCTGACTTGTTTGAGGCCACAAAGTAAGTCAACAAGAGAGTCAGGATGAAACCCAGTTCATCTGACTCCTGAGTTTCATGTCCTGAATTGTCACATTCTCCTGCCTCTCAAATTGACAGTGGAAACTCATTAACTCTCCTGAGTAGCAGAGTGACAAGAACAAATGTGAATTTTAAAAGCCGGCTCAGATGGCCCTGTAATGTCCAAAACCTGGTTGGTAACAGTGAAATACGAAGGATATATGCTTCACTCCCTTCTTTCCCCATGGCAGCTCTCTAGCTCCCCACAGATTGCATCCATACAATTCTTGGTAAAAGCCATAACATGGTGAGTTTACAGTCGAAATCTACTGGAAATAATTAGCGGAAATAATTCCATCCGCTAAATAATTTTAGAGCTATGGCAATGCTTAGTGAATGCAAAGGGCTTATGAGAGAGATAGCCAATTACTTTATTAGCAAATGCTGAAAGTTTAAAAACACAGAGGGAACAGGGACACTAAAGTGCTATGGAAATAATGAAATAACACCAAATTTATTTAAAGCTAGCGATAATTAGGTGTTACGTAGCTGGTAATAATTTTCAAAGAAAAGCAGGAGATGCCTCATTACTTGCCTTGGAAACAAAGCTCTTTAGATTTGGACAAACCTTAAAAGATGAGGGAAAAATCTGCTATGATCCCCAGGGGAGGATTCATACAACACATCTTTCTATTTTTAACTCGGATGCCTTAATAAAATGGCCTCTCTGACACTCCCATCTCTTCCATCTAAACCCTTCCACAGGAGCCCTGTCCCTTGTCTCATTCCAGATAATTTATTAATAAGCCACCACATAAAAAATGTTCCCTAATAAAACACCCAGGCATTGTGGACTGTCTAATGTAGTTAATTTCAGCAGGGCAACTGAGATTCATGTAGAGATGGCCATATTAGATTAGGGGAGAGATTAGCATCACTGTTGCCATTCCCTGAAGAATAGAGCTAAATACCCTATCCTTCATTCATAGAGCTGAGTTCAGATGATCGTTTTGAAATACCGGTCCTGAATTTGCATGCAATAATACAGACTTCCAGAAGCCAAAGTTAAAGCAGTATTAGATGGAATCTAGAAAGAATTCCCCTTCTCTCTCTCTCCATTCTTCTCACCCCCCACTCCCCTAACCTCCCCCTCCACCTTTTGGGGCAGGTCCAGGAGCTGAAGTATAACTGACTAATTTGTTAAAAAATAAAAATAACCTCATTTTCTCCATGGGAAAAAATACAAACAGGCAAACAAACTGATACACACACACACACACACACACACACACACACACACACACTTACTGGAATTTATTGAACTAGTTAGATTGAGGCAGAACAACATTGGACTACTATTTTTTGGTTAAGCATGCACTCAGAACCATTAAGATTCATATTCCTTTTCAAGCAGAAAACATGATAATTGGCTATTACTTAGAAAAAATAGAAATATTCTCTTTAGAGCATATGTTTCAAAATATTTTAGATCCATGGAAATTATGTGAATATTTTTCATACACCACATCTATTGGCAAATGGATTTTGTGATATGTCCACTATCTTTCTCTTTTCTTTATCCTTAGAAGGACAAGGGCAAAACATTGGTTTGAGGCAAATACCTATCTTTTGTCTGCTTGGCACCAATCTAATGGCAATTTAACAATATAACAAGCAAAGTTATTTGGTATAGTGTACAACGTAAGCAGATAATCCATTTTGCTAAAAGAACAACTAAGCAACAGAGCAGAACTTGACAAAGCTAACTCATTTCTTGAGGGTTCTATATTCAATCTAATTTGCGTAGTTGGTATTTGGCAGCTACACTCTCTTCTGTCCCAAATTCAATACTGTTGCCAAAGTGGCAGCTTTGCAATAGCTAAGGGAAAGATTATATGCCTCAACTCTGGTTTTCCCTTTCTCTGTGTAACAAATTCAAATGGTAAGCCAATAATCTTCTACTAAGTAAGAAAATATAAATATCAAATTTAATAACTGGTTAATAGATGAGTGATCAGCTATCCTTGCAGATTCCTATGCTAGGGAATAATTTCCTTGAGAAGTAACAAAGACTGAAAGAAAGGGCTATATGCTAAGTTCATTCAGAAACTGACAGCCAGTGGGAGAGGAAGGCTATGGGTCATCCACACTTTGTGTCTCTGGTGGGGCTCATCCCATTGTCCCAGCTTACCTTCTCCCACAATGGGGTCTTCTTTTTCAGTCTCTACCTGTGACCCTTGGCGTTTAGATGAGACATGGACATGATTCTTTTGATCATTAGTCTGGGATGCAGAAATATCTTCACTCTTTATTTCTAAATTAATGAGAAAAGGAAGTGCATGTTTCTTGTTGTTTTTTTTTTCCAGAATAAAATAACATTTTTTATTTGTAAATGGGCCCTAAGTGTTAAGATATTTCCTTGTATGCCCCCCAAAATGATTGTAAAATAAATGCAATAGAATGCATATAATAAATCCAGAGTTTAAGAAATAAACAAAATCCCATACTGACTACCAACTACTGAACACCTGAAATGTGACTAGTTCGCATTGAGATGTGCTGTAAATGTACAATATACACCTAATTTTGAAAACAAAAGTAAAATATATAACATTTTTATATTCATTACATGTTGAAATAAATTTTGATATATTGGGTTAAGTGGCTTCTAGAAAATTACATTATGTGCCTTACATTTGTGACTCATGTTTTATTTTTATTGGACCTAGCTGGCATAGAATGTTATTAGTGTTTTTTAACCTTTTATCTTGAAATAATTATGGATTCACAAGAAGTTGCAAAGAAACATTCAGGGAGAACAATTTTATTTATTCTAAAATGTTCATTTTAGCCATTTGAAAAGTACAAGAAAAAAAAATATATATATATGAGCTGATTATTGCATACTCCCCCCCCCCGCATAAAGTTCCTTCTGATCACTTTAAATTTTTAAATAGAAATTTAGGAGTCTATGTTCACACAGAACAATAAGAGAATTTAATACAGAGAAATGTGCCCATAGATATTGAAAAGTTCAAAGAACAAAAAGAGGACATTGGGTAACTGATAGGTTAGTAACTGTAGAAAGAAGCTTCCTCTAGACTAGTGGTTCTCAACCTTCCTAATGCCACGGCCCTTTAATACAGTTCCTCATGGTGTGATGACCCCCAACCATAAAATATTTTCGTTGCCACTTCATAACTGTAATTTTGCTACTGTTATGAATCGTAATGTAAATATCTGATGCAGGATGTATTTTCATTGTTACAAATTGAACATAATTAAAACATAGTGATTAATCACAAAAACAATATGTAATTATATATGTGTTTTCCCATGGTCTTAGGCGACCCCTGTGAAAGGGTCGTTCGACCCCCAAAGGGGTCACGACCCACAGGTTGAGAACCACTGCTCTAGACCTAGGGGAACAAAAGAGAAGAAATGGGGTGAACAGAGCTTAGTGTAGGTCCTTCCAAGGCTGGTAGGTTTAGCTATAAAAGGGAGGATGAGAATTAAATTACTTCACAGAGTCACATGAGATTAAAATTATGAAATGTCTTTGTTTTCAAATAGGAAAGCAACACACACAAACACAGTGAACTTTAGATTTGAAAACAAAGACCAAAACTTGGGGTTCAAAGTATCACTGGCACCTACGCAGGGTGAGGAGATCTTGTTCTTCCTAAGAAAGACCAGGAATCCTGAAGTTTCCTTGTAGTTTGCCCAGACCCATCATGACAAGGAGAGAGATAGGGATGTCTGAAGCTGGTTTGAAATAGTGTATCTTCCAGTCGGGTCACCATGCTTCTTCCATTCTCCTCCCTTTATTTTGACTTTCTCTCTTTGCCTCTCCTCATTTTACCTCTCTATATATTCACTCATATCCCTTTGGTTTCCTAATATCTCCTAGTATCACAAGGGTTTCATCCACTCATTGGCTGGGAGTTTAGGGTGGGTAGAGTAAGAGATTTGCTTTTCTTTCCCTCACACTCTAAGCCTCTTTTACAGAACTTCTTTTCCTCAGTGACTTTTCCATGGAGAGAGAGAGAGAGAGAGAGAGAGAGAGAGAGAGAGAGTCTAAGAGCATAATTTCTATGCTCCTAGAGAAAACAAAAATAAAACACTAAGCACTCTCTTCCCTCTTTTGAAGGAGAAGAGGGCATTCCCCTTTGAAGACTTTGAGCTCACCTTCTGGAGGGTTCCCTGGGCAGTGGAAGCATAGAGTTTCAGAGAATAAGATCTGGAACCAAACTGCCTGGCTTCTTCCTGACTGGACCATGGGGTAAGTAACTTAGCGTTTCTGGGCTTCATTGTCCACCTCCATAATATAGACATAGTATTTGGTACCTATTTTATAGGGCTGTTATGAATATTAGATAAATTCATGTATCTAATGTACTTAGAGCCTGGTCTATAGCGAGTGCTCAATAAATTTGAACTTTTATTAGTATTGCTATTATTATTTAAGATTAGGCAATTCTTGTCTTTACTGTATGAATTAAATAAATTAGCTACATATAGCTTAATATGTTGCAAAAGTTCATAAATGTTTTTCTTTGGGGAAGTAAAAGAAAGGTTAATATGTTATACATAATGGCATTTTTCCTCCAATATTTTCATTCAAAAAAAAAACTACATACTTCTGCTTTTGCTTTTCTTAAACCAACAGCACACCAGACAGCACAGAGCCAGCCATGAGACCACTGAGCACAGGGAGGCAGACAGGATGATGGTCGACTTCTCTGACCGAGTCACAGGTAAGATGGCGAATGGCCTGGATCGAGTCGTAAAATTGGTTCCTGTAAAAAAAAAAAAAGTCTCAATAATAACTGTGCTAATATAACATTGTGGGAAAATATGCTTACAACACTTAGTAGGTTTAATAAATATTTTGCTAAAGAACTACAGGATTCCAATTCCAATGATAATGCACAATTGTTCTCTCTAATTTGTCTAATTTCCATTAATTAAAATAGAAATGCTCTGAGTTCTAGAATGTGTGAAACTACTTGCTGTGACATATGTATCCTACTCAAAATATGGCATGTAGCAAAAAGACATGGCACCAAGACTCTGACTACAGGGTCAAGAGAACTTCAAATGTCAAGAGAACTGCAAATTTTGTTCCCTGGAAAAGTGGGGGTAGAGCATGGTAGCTGAGCCACTTGGCTATGAAAGATGGAACAAAATGGGTAACTCTACGGAGTGAATCTTTCTAAGAATTCATCTCAAACTTGTAATAGACTGAACATTTTGACTGCTTACTCCCTTATTATTTTGAAACAAAGCATAAAAGAATCTAAAAAAAAACACCTTGTCTATATACATAAAAATATGCACACAAATATTTATAACACCTCTATTCCTAATCACCCAAACTCAGAAACAACCCAAATGTTCTTCAACAGGGGGATGAAAAAAATCAACTGTGGTTTATCCAGATGATGAAATACTACTCAGCCAAAAAGAGAAAAAGAAAAAGAAGAAAGAAGGAGAAATGAAGGAAGAGAGAGTGAGGGAAAAAAAAAGGAGGAGGAGGAGAAGAAAGGAAGGATGGAAGGAAGGAAGGAAGGAAGGAAGGAAGGAAGGAAGGAAGGAAGGAAGGAAGGAAGGAAGGAGAGAGAGAGAGAAAGGAAGAGAGAGGGGGAGAGAAAAGAAGAAAGAAAGGAAGGTGGAAAGAAACTGTTAACAATGTCAAACCACTGGGATGAACATGAAAGGTGTTATACTGAGTAAGAGAAGCCCATATCACACTGAATGATTCCATTTATATGACATTCTAGAAAAGATAAAACTATAGCGATGGAAATCAGATCAGCGGTTGCCAGGGATTGGTGTCAGTGGGAGGAGAGGATGTGAGGACAGAGAAAAGCATAAGGAAGATTTTTTGAAGGATATTTTCTGTATCCTGATGTGGAGGTGATTACATGAATCTATACATGTATTTGAATTCATAAAAAGATATACCAAAAAAGATAAATTTTACTGGATATTATTTTAAGTATGAAAATTTTAAGTCTGTCTATAATTTGGAAGGTGATAAATATGTTTATATTAATTGTGGGGAGGGTTTCATTGAAATATACATTCATCAAAAATTATCAAAGGGCATGTTTTAAATATGAGTAGTTTATCATGTCAATTTTAGCTCACAAAAATAAAATATTTAGAAAAAAAATATTGCCTGCCCAACTGGTGTGGCTCAGTTATTGAGCATCGACCTATAAACCAGGAGTTCAGGGTTTGAATCCTGGAAGTGAGGACACATGCCCGGGTTGAGGGCTCAATCCCCAATAGGGGGCATGCAGGAGGCAGCCAATCAATGATTCTCTCTCATCGTTGATGTTTTCATCTCTCTCTCCCTCTCCCATCCTCTCTGAAATCAATTAAAAAACAAAGCAAATGCCCTAACCGGTTTGGCTCAGTGGATAGAGCGTCGGCCTGTGGACTGAAAGGTCCTGGGTTCAATTCTGGTCAAGGGTATGTACCTTGGTTGCGGGCACATCCCCAGTAGGAGGTGTGCAGGAGGTAGCTGATTGATGTTTCTCTCTCATCGATGTTTCTGACTCTCTATCCCTCTCCCTTCCTCTCTGTAAAAAATCAATAAAATATATATTTTAAAAAAAAAGCAAAACAAGAAAACCTTGCCTAAGAACACGAGTTAGTTATAGTTGGCATTAAAGTAGTTTATTCAAAACAAACAAATCTATCCAAAATCTCTGCTTTCATCTGAATCACTCAGACAATAATAGTTTTTATTTTCTCTAGTCAGGGAAACACCATGTTTTTCTTTGCTGTGCTTTTCTTGGGTTGAACCTGACAATTTGATTGACAGCCACGGTCAGATCTTTAGTCTCTTGACTCCTGGCTGACTCAGTCCCAAAGCTACCATAACCAAATTAGCTAGATATGGTTCTACTGAAAACAAATTTGGCTTGTTTCTTATCAATTAGTTTCTTTTTATGGGCATCTGAATAAAATAAATCCAGCCCGGATATGGGGGGTAGGTTTTACTAGGGATTTGCAGAAGTAAAAACAAAATTCCTCATTCTTTTATCCATTTTCCAATGATTGCTCAGTGATTATTATCTTTGCTCAGTGGATAAGTTATTGTTCTCATTCTTAAAGTATTTACAAGCTAGTAAATGAAATTAGATATACATACAAATGTTTGTAATAAAAAGACAGAATGTGACACATGCCACCAGAATAATGCAAATGAATTGCTTTGGAAGGATATGTGGCATTGATATGATCAGAAGAAGTATACCAGAGGAGAGAGTATCTAAGTGGGACTTGGAAGGTTGAGCAAATGAAGACAGAACAAAGAAAAGATCAATTGATATTTAAGAAATTAATGCTGGAAAATACTGGGAATTAATGCTCAAAAGAATTTGAGACAAAATTTTCTGAGCATTAAATGTCAGTCAAAAAGGCCCTTAACTGTATTCTGAAGGCAATGAAGTTCATAGAAGGGAAAATTCTGAGGGCCTGAAGTCAGGGAGACTTGTTTAAATGCCTAGAGCAGTAAGCTGGGTCTAAGATTGCAGACCGCCAGTTTTCAAATATTTTTAGCAGCAAAACATTTTTTTAAAATGCAATCTTAGACATAATCTCAATATACTTACTTGTTCATAAATATTTGTGCCTATGAGGTGCGATGTTTCACTACACCCTGAGAATATAACACAACTTGTTAGGATTCCTGTGTCTTTTGGAACTTACATTCTAATGCAGCACAGAGCACACAGACAGTAGACAAACAAGCAAATCCAGGGATACTCTGATGTGAGGTAGTGGTAGGTGCCACAAGGACTAAAGTGAGGTTGGAAGACAGAATGACTGGAGGTGAGAACAGGGTTGGGGACGGTGCTGTAGAGTACACGGTACAGAAAAGCCTCTTTGAGGAGGTGTCAGCGGGAAGAAACCTGAGTGAAATGAGGATAAGCCATGTGAATTTCTTGAGCAAGAGTACTTCAGGCAAGGAAATAGCAACTGCAATAGTTTTTCTGGACTGATGTCAGAAAGCATCCTTGGTTCCCTCACTCTCTTCCCAGCACAGAAGCCCTTGGGGATCCCCTAAGAACTTCATGGCTCCAAGAAATGGTTAGGAAATCCAGAGCCACGGTTCTCAAAACTGCCTGGTACTGATGGCCCTATCAATATGGGAATAAGAGCTGCTTTCCCAAATGATTCTAGCACTAGAAATTGATATAGTGGGAAACAAGGAGTTACTCTCAGTATCTTCACTCTTAATCAATATGATGTCAAATTAAAACTACAATGAGATATCACCTTCCACCTGTTAGAATGGCTATCATCAATAAATCAACAAATAAGATGTGCTAGAAAGGATGCGGAGAAAGGAAATCCTTGTGCACTGTTGGTGGGAATGCAAACCAGTGAAGCCACTGTGGAAAACAGTATGAAAATTCCTCAAAAAATTAAAAGATAAACTGTCATATGATCCAGCAATTCCACCCCTGGGTATTTATCCCAAGAAATGTATATCCCCTATGTTCATTGCAGCATTATTGACAATAGCCAAGATAAGGAAGCAATCTAATTGGCCTTCAATGAATGAATTGAGAAAGAAGATTTGAAATAATATTCTAATGGAATATTATTCAGCAATAAAAAAGAATGAAATCCTGCTATTTGTGACAACATGGATGGACCTATTGAGTATTATGCTATGTGATGTAAGTCAGACAGGGAAAGGCAAATACCTTCTGATTTCACGTGTATGTGCAATCTAAAAACACAAAACAAATAAATAAACAAAACAGAAGCATATCTATAGTTATAGAGAACAAGCTGATGGTTGCCAAAAAAGAGGGGATGGGACTAAAACTTAAACACATGAAACATGAAGACAATAAGGATTCACAGAAATACAGGCCTTTTAATGCTTTCTTTTTATCTTCCATCTACTCTCTTCTAATTTAAACTTTTTAAAAAATATATTTTTAATGATTCCAGAGAGAAAGGGAGTGGGAGAGAGAGATAGAAACATCAATGATGAGAGAATCACTAATTGGCTGCCTCCTGCATGCCCCTGATGGGGGATCGAGCCTGCAACTCGGGCCTGTGCCCTGACCAGGAATTAAACTGTGACTTCCTGGTTCATAGGTCTATGCTCAATCACTGAGCCACACCGGCCGGGCTAATTTAAATATTTGTAATCGAATTCTGACAGAGGCCCACCTCACAGACTTGATATTGAAAATTATGAATTATGATTTAAGGAAAATGGCTAAAGAAAAACTGTAATCCCTCAGCAGTCTACTTTACAAGTTATAGGTGGAACCTAAGGTAAACTAGTGACCTAGTCAAAGTGAACACCAAGCGCAACTCAAAATCAAAGTGTTACTGAGAAGTTGGACCACATTTTACATTTGGTTTTATAACTTATTCCTTAAAATGATCCTCATAACATGTTCAGGCTTAGTTAACCACCAAGGAAATTAAAAGACAAAAGTCTCTAGGACAAAATATCCTTCAAAATATATCCTTGGGATTCCCATGATCAAGGACCCTGAACATGTTTCTCCATGAACTTCTACTTAAATTAGGACACTCTCATAGATATTAAAAGAGTATCTGCCTAAAACAATTAATAATAATTGTTTACTTGACCACAGAAGATATTCTCTTTGTGAAGAAAATGGTCCAAAACTTGGAATTAAGGGAAAACCTGATTTCAGATTTTATCAATGTCATTTTGAAGCATTTTCAAATAGGCCCTTCCAAGATTTATCAAATTCTCTGGAACATACTTTTTTTTACTTTATATTTAATTGAGGATCAGGCTTAATTAATACAAGATTGGTAAGCTGCAAATGATTTTTGTCCAGTAAAGATGCACAGGATATCTGTAGACATCTAACTTCAAAGGCTATAGTTTTATTACCCTGTATCCAATTTAACAAACTTATGTCAGCAGCTCCTTCCTGGTTGATCTACATCCCTCATATGTAATTTAACAGCTTTGCTGTCCTCCTGGATCCCTCATTATGAGTTCAATAACTGTTGACAAGTGCTCTTTACATATTTTTATGAAAGCCACATTTTTAACGTATTGAAAAGTTTACTATGACAGTTTGAATGTTTCATGATGGAAGACTAATGTCTGGATTTAATTAAATATTTGTTGTTGGGCTTAAGATACCTCACATCAACACATTTTATTTCCTTTGCCATTTCCAATATCTAAGAGGTCCCAATGAAATAATGACTGCTCTAATGCATTTTACAAAACTTTGCATTATCACACCTGTACATGAACTGCTTTCTACAGTTGTATGTTTTAGGAATCAGACTAACTTCCCTGACCAAAATTAATAATTGATTGTAAATTTCTACCTTTCAGTTCAAATGCAATGTTAGTATTTTACAAATTCTTTTAGGTGGATTTTCTGGTAAGTCAAATAATGCATGCGATATTTAAATTATTTTTTTAAGTGGGAAGCTCTGTGTTTCTATCAGAATTCAACCCTTTAAAAAGAGGATGGCGGAAACTGGACTCTCAGCTCTACCCTTCATGGGAATGAGAGAGGTATTTTACATAGGCTCCTCTGGCTTTGAAGTTTAATTAACATCGTACCTACTATAAACTTGTTGGACAGCATTACCTTCTAACAAAAAAAAATTGTCAAGAATACTTCAGAAGGTAATGGGGGGATGAGGACACATTTGTAATACCTTAACCAATAAAGAAATTTTAAAAAAAAAGAATACTTCAGAAGGGAAATTTCTTTTTAATGTTTTTTCAAGAAGGACTGAAGCATATAAGCAAGTAACACACGCTTTATATCTATATTTCTAAAAAAAAACCAGGATTTTAAATGGGTATAGTTGCCATTTGGGGGAGGGGGGCAGTGGGTGAGGGCAGAAATGAAAGAATTCATAATACTCTGTATCCCAGGACTCTTTTTTCTGTAAATTAAAATTTCTAATTAGTATCCAACCCAATGCTATCAAATGTCACATATATATATTTTTATAAAGTAGAAAATTCAAAGAAAATTTTAACAACTAGAGGAAAATGGACATTTGGATTCTTGCTTACCAGGATTCTCCTGAGACTTAATTTCTACATGTGCTCTTGCTTCTCACACCTTAATAATATAATCAATTGATGTTTTTCTCTAAACTTAGATGACTCCTTATTCATGATAAGAGCTATTCCAATGACAAAGGAGAAGGGGCTATATTTTAAATAAAACAAACAGATAATAAAACACACAGTGCTGAGATTACCTGGAGGGGAAGTGACAGTAAAAAGAAAGTGCCAATTTGACCCAGAAATCAAAATTGCCAAGTTGGAGAAGCTCACATAACCATCTCGAGTTTCTGCCTGAGTACACCCTACAAATGAACACACAAAAAAAGGAAATGTTAGTTACCTATTCAAGAGTAATTCATTTGAGTCTTCTCTATAGAGAGGCAATTGGACAATAAAGGAAATTTATTTTTTTAATTAAAGAGGTTACTAAATCCATCAGGATCAGATTAAGTCTTAGACAAGTCTTAGAACCAAATAATCCAATAATAACAGCTAACATGCATTGAAAGCTTAACCAGACACTGTGCTTTCTATACATTATAAATACATTATATGTACATTATAAATAAGCTTCATAAAAATGTATAAAATATTTTAATATCTATATCATTTAGGTAATAGGAAATAGGCTCATAAGATGTTAAATTACTTAGTACTGGGGTTATAGCCCAAATTTGCCTAATTTCAAAGTTAGCATTCTTAACCACTGCTGTATCTCCACTAATTTATTATTAAATTTATCTCAAGAAAGAAATACCATTGTCTTCCTAGGTGGTCAGTTTTTTGGCTCTGCCTCTCTTCTATTCAAAGGTTCTATATTTTATGTGAGGACAAAGTTAGGCCAATTGATCAAGACTTCAGCAATGCTTCAAATCACGACTGATAAAGATTTAGCAACTTGAATTGCCTGGGCCATGGTTTCCCTGAATAAAATGCAGAAAAGAAAGCTCACATCTTCTAAAAATGGCTCATCCATCTATAAAGTGAAAGAAGACAACTCCAGGCAGGCTCACGTTCACAATGCCATTAATTAGTCTTCTGACTCCACTATCCTCAAATTACTTTGTTAATTAACAGCTGCTACTAAAAGTCACTATGGAAAAGTCACTGTGATTGGTACGATGGACAATGAAATAGGAGAGTGGTCTTAAAGTTTATAAATTGGTTGGAGATCTTTTAAGGCTGAAAGGTATCATAAAGATATAATATGCTTAGTGTTACATATTTCAATTCAATTGCTCAGTCCTTTTGGTGAAAATATTGTCTTTCCTCATCAATTTTGCAAAGCTAACTAAACTTCCTTTTTTGGAAACATCTTTTCCTTCATCTCGTCAGAGTACCAAAATAAATAAAATGCCCAGAAAAAAATGGAAATAAATAAGCCAAGACTAAAATAAATGATAGGCGCCCAAGATAAATGCAGTTTATACTCTTTAAAACCTATATGCATCAAAATTATGGTCCATAAACTCTTGCAAACAATGAACTGCAGAGTACAGATGTTCAACATGAAATCGTTTGCTGCAGTTTTTCCTTTGACAAACGTCCTTATTGTTCCCATCTTTGGAGGAATACAAAGCAGCATTTAATCGAAATGTGTCCGTGGAGCACAGTGAGTCTGCCTCGTAGAACAGCCGCCAAACTGCCTAATGGAAAGTGCTTTAGCTCCAAATGGGTTTGCTTTTGTGTTAAATACCAGCTTGCCTCAGAGATCTCTACAAAGATTCCCATATATATCTATGATATTCTCAGATTTGAAGCATATGCGCTCAAAAGCTGAGGCAGTTGCTGCCAAGTACAGTACATTACTCCAGGGTTCATCATATCTCTGGAATGATAATTGTAAAATATACCAATGCCATTGCCAGGCTCCCTGACCAAGCTGGTATAAACAACATACTGGCTGCGGGAACTTCCACGAGATGGGGTATTGGGCTTGTGCAAAACTGAAATTGATTACATGACTTAACCAGGGATTGCTACCTGAGTGTTTCTGCAGGGCATATGGTTTCTAAAACACCTTTTCAGCTCAAGTTCTCTGCCATGTCATCTCTCTCACCTCTAGCTAAACTAGCAAACTATTACATATTTATATCAAACTATATCATTAATGTTTACACTTTATTTTTTTAAATATTAAGAACATCTTTTCCCTACAACTAGGATTTATAATTATTAAAGGATCTGGAAGGCCCTTAAATAATAGTTTTTGTGTATGTAAATCTGCTTTTTAAGAAATAATCTCTTTTTTACTGAGGAAGGTCTACTGAGACAAAAGAACATGAAGTTAAATTGCAGAATAAAAGATTTACACTAGATCTATAGGTATAGTTTTGTTGTTGTTATTTTGTTTTTCTCCAGGAAATACTCAGAATAAGTTACATAATCCATCCCAAATGGATTGGGTTCCATTTTTTCTGAAGTTAAGTAGAACTATTTCATGATGGTTTTAAAAGATACTTTCAATCAAATGAAATAGAACGTTTTGGTGATGTGGGCTCTCTAAACACAGAAAACTGCACAAGATGTTTTCCCTACATCACACACACACACACACACACACACACACAGAGTGTGCATAGAAGACAGCCTCAGCAAGTTCCTCATACTTTCCCAAGAATCTCCCAAGGAGAAGAATGATGACAATACTGATCCAGGTGAGTCACCATGCTTCGTGTGAGTTGGTGTTAATAGAATAAAAAAGCAAACAGTTTCATGCTTCATTTATTCTACATAATCATAATAAAATTCTAAGCTAGTTGGTGATCAGATCCTTAGGATAACTAAAAGAAAAATAATGAAGGATTTGGGGAGGTAAGTATCAGGAGTAACTTATGGAGTCTGAGTAAGGTACAGTACAAAAGTAAGGTATGGAATATGAGTAAGGCATGGAGTATGACTAAGCTACTGCATATGGTTAATGTATAAAATACTGTGAAGTATGGAGTATAAATAAGGTATAGAATATGAGTATGTATGAAGATAAGTAAGGTATGAAATATATGTAAGGCATGAATTATGGGTAAGGTAAAAAAATATAGGTAACTGAACTATACATGTAAGAATGGTTAAGATAGCTTTATGTTCTGTGTATCTTACCACAATATTTTTTTTAAAAAAGAATTCAAGGCATGGAGTATGAAGAAGGCCCTGAGTATGGGTAAGTGATAGAATAGGAGTAAAGGTATGGAGTGTAGGTAGAGTATAGAGTATAGGCACAGTATGGAGTATGACTAAGGATATGGACTATGAGTAAGGCAGTGAGTATAAATGAGATACTAGATACAGGTAAGTTATAGAGTATAGGTAAGGCGTTGCTATGGACTGAAAGGTTGTGTTAGAACCTTATCTCCAATGTCATGGTCTTTGGAAGTGGGGCCTTTGGGAAGTGATTAGGTCATCAGGGCAGAGCCCTCATGAATGCAATTAAGTACCCTTATAAGAGAGACCCCAGAGAACTTGCTTAGCCCTTCAGCCATGTGATGAATAGTGAGAAGTGTCTATGAACTAGGAAGTGGACCCTCCCCAGACACAGAATTTGCTGGAGCCTTCATATTGGGTTTTGCAGGCTCCAGAGCTGTGGGAAATAAATTTCTTCACTGATAAGCCCTCCAGTCTATGATATTCTATTACAGAAGCATGAAAGTACAATGACAGATATGGAGTGAGGGCAAGGTATAGCATGTGTGTATCGTTTGAAGTGTGGATGGAGCATAGAATATGGGGAATGTATGGAGTAGAGGATAGACGTAGGTGAGTTTCAGTAGTCAGGTGACAGCAACTGATATAGAACATGAAAAAAGCTGAAAATTGATATTTTTATGCTGCTGTGTTAAGATCAGAATTACTTTTATATCTGATGTATTCCAGACCAAAATGCCAGCAACAGCTAAATGGCATTGAAGAATGGACAGACTGACATCATCAAAGCAGACAGTTTAAAATTAACTCATAATGCAGTTTTGAATATTTCATTTTCACATTAGCCAACCTGGAATAGCTTTGCTTAATTACCTTATTTTCTTAATAATGTGGGGTTTTTTTCCTGCAAATTTGTACAAGGAACATTTTGGGCTGTCCTCTTTCCTTGAGATTTTAAACCCAAAGAGTTTCAGATTTAATTGCTTGGGCAAAGAAATCACCAAGAAGAACAAATATGAGTCAGCAATGTGGGTGCTAGTTTCACCAACGTGAGTAAAATATTGATTGTATGAGTGGAAGTATAGAGAAGATGGAAAGTCTATGAGGTGATTCTCATAAAATGAGCAGCAACATCTGGGTCTTTAAAAATGTGTTATGCAAAGAGAAAGTGGGCAGGGCAATGAAGAGAGTAACTACAAGTTTGGGAGAAAATCATTTTTGTCCACAGGCTAAAAAGCTTTGATTTCTTAATAAGTAAGTAAATAGAGTAGGAAATTTATAGGCCAAAATAGTTGAAAGGCAACTTGAAAAGAGATAGCAGTCAAATTTATAGCTCCAATAAGAAAACAACAGAATGAAACAAAATTTAAACAAGAGTTTTGAAATATCTAATCAGCTATGTCGATTGCCTCCTCAAGAAAAATTTTCAAAAGGGGCTCTATCTGTGGCTAGTCCTGTTTTCTGGAACTGATGAGGTACAGCTTAGCACAAAAACTATAAGCTAAATAATACACTGATTTAAAAACAAATCCTGAGATTAATTTATTAAAAACTATGTTGAATGAGAATTCATTTGCTTGGAAACTTTATCAAAACAATTTTGTATTTCCTTTTATAGAGACAAGTAACAAAAGAATGAAAATACAATATCCTCAGGAGAGGCAGGTGTTATATTTCAGACACTAGAAATAATTTAGGCCAAATCAAATGCAATTAGCAGGAGAGGCAAGATGTAGCACTTCTATAATGGACTTATTCCTATACATTTTAGCATTTCACATACTTTACAGGAGCCATGTGCATGAGCTTAGACTCATAGCCTGAGTAGAGCAAGAAATAACTATAAAATAATGACTTTTTCTTGGAAACCAGAAATTTTGTAGATAGGCTGATGTTTGTACTGGTAGGTGAGTCATTTACAAGTTTGGAAAAAAAAATCACAAGTTTGAGAAAACCCAAACCAATAAAAATATCTTAACTGGTTTATGCATAAGAAATCTAATAAACTAATTTTTTACAAAATTATCAATACACTCTCTAATTTTGCTTGTGTTGCCTGTGCTTACATGCCATATCTATGAAATCATTGCCAAGACCAACATCAACAAGCTTTTCGTCTGTTTTCTTCTAGGAGTTTAAAGTTTCAGGTCTTATATTTAAGACTTTAATCTGTTTTTCGTTGATTTTTTTCTGTATGGTGTAAAACGATGGTCCAACTTTATTCTTTAGCTTGTGAATATCCAGTTTCCCCAACACCATTTGTTGACGAGACCATCCTCTTCCCATCGTGTATCCTTGGCTCCCTTGTTGGATTACAGTTGACCATATGCACATGGACTTATTTTTGGAATCTCTATTGTGTTCCTTTGGTCTATAAAGTCTGCCTTTATGCAAGTACCATACTATTTTATTTAATACTAGTGGCCTGGTGCATGGATTCCTGCACATTGAAAGGAAGTTGATTGGAAGAAAGATTCGTGCGGTAATTATGTTACTGCCAAAAATTACATATCAAAATAGTATATATAGTATTATAAAATTAAAATAAAAAACATTTTAATATTGCTATTCATCCTTTCTCCATAATAGAAGTGTCAGAGATGAAATAAAATTAGTAAAATATATCTGAAAATAACACATAAATTGATTAATAAATAAACAACAACAACATCATATATCAACAACAAAGTGCCAATAGTTGGTCTTCAGATATGTTCTGGCGTTTCATGCAATTGGCACCAGCAAGAGCTTTATATGTACCACGCATGCATGAGAGTCAATGTTTATTTTTAAATTGCCAGTACACATCATATGTACCAGCCAGTCAGTTGGATGATCGGACAGATGTATGGTTGGTCACTTAGCCTTTTATATATATAGACTAGAGGCCCCATACATGAAATTTGTGCATGGGTAAGGTCCCTAGGCCTGGCCGGCGAGTAGGGCTGGTCGGGGCCTTCCTTTGTTCTGCACCGTTCCTGGCGGTCAGCACACATCATAGAGAGCAGTCGAACTCCCAGTCATTGAACTACCGAGGAGACAATTTGCATATTAGCCTTTTATTATATAGGATAGTTTTGTCAAATATTTTGAAAATCAGGCATGTGATGCCTGTTTTGTTTTTCTTTTTCAAGATTATTTTTGTCTTTTGGAATTTTTTTGTGGTTCCATATGAATTTTATAATTTTTAAAATATTTCTGTAAGAAATGTTATTGAAATTTTGATAGAGATTAAATTGAATCTGTGAATCATTTGGACATCTTAAACAAAATTAGACAAGTGAGATAATATCAAACTAAATATCTTAAGCATATCAAAGCAAACAATAAACAGAGTGAAAAGGCAAACTACAGAATGGGAGAAAATATATGCAAGCCGTATTTCTGATAAGGGTTACTTTCCAAAATATATAAGGAACTCCTACAAATTAATAGCAAAAAACAAACAAACAAGTGATATGATTTAAAAATAGACTAAAAACTTGAATAGACATTTCTCCAAAGAAGGCCTACAAATGGCCAACAGGTATATGAAAAGATGCTCAATATCACTAATAATCAGGGAAATGCAAATCAAAATAAAATGAGATATTATCTTACACCTATTAAGATGTCTAGTATTATCAAAATACCCAAAGACAATAAGTGTTGGTGAGGATGTAGAAAACAAACTCTTGTGCATTGTTGGTGGGAATGCAAAATGGTGCAGCTGCTATGGAAAACACTATGGCAGCTCCTCACAAAATTAAAAATAGAAATATGATGCAGCAAGCCCACTTCTAGGTATTTATGCAAAAGAATTTAAATCAGGATTGCCAAGAGATAGCTGCACTCCCTGTTCATTGCAGTGCTCTTCACACTTGCCAAGAAATGGAAACAATCTAAATGTCAATCAACAGACGAATAGGTAAAGAAAACGTGGAATACACATACAATGAAATACTACTATTCAGCCTTTAAAAAAAAGGAAATTCTAAAATATGTGACAACTTGGATGAATCTTGAGAACATTATTCCAAGGAAATAAGCCAGTCACAGAGGGACAAATATTGTATGATTTTATCTATATGAGGTATCTAAAATATTCAAATTCATAGAAGCAAAAAATAAAATGATATGTGTTTCTTTTTAATTTTCACATGCACATGGTATAGGAAAAGCAAATGAAGCAAAGCAGTGGTACTCGGACTGCACAGGAAGCTAACAGAAGACAAAAGAAAAGCGGAGAGGGAAAAATGAACTTGAGGTTCTCCTCTGGGCCAGGTGTTTTGCATTTGCCATCACATTTATTCTTCCTATCACTGAGCCAGTGTTTCTCCATAGAAACCACCTTGTATGGGTGACTTGCTCCCGGGGCCAGTCCATGACACTGTACTAAAGAATCATTTGTCTTAGGGGACATGCTCTTCTCCTTATACCACATTGGGGATCTGGACATGACAAAAATGCTCCTTCATCATGCAAAGGAGGGGAGAGGAGGAGGTGTTTCCTTAAGTATTTACTGCCAGCCAAAACTTTCTTTTCACAAACACTGGCATTGTAGAGTGGGGATGATGGATGTTCCTTTCAAATTACTGAAGATACTGAGTGTGCCTGACCTTGCTATGAATCCCTAATGGCGGCAAACATTTTCTGCGCAGATGCAGTAGTAACAGGTCTCAGAATGTCACAGATACCTACCTTTCAGCACTGAATCTGAAGTCCCTTCCAGGGAAACAGAAATGGCCCAAGGCTCTGATGGCAGCCCCAAGGACTCTACTCTCCGATTCTGAGAAGGGGGGGGGGGAACCACAGTAAAAGTTGGATTCAGAAGAGAATCTGTGAAATTATCTATAAAAGAAGAGAATTTAGAATAGAATCTTGCATAAAGCACAAATTCAGTACAAACAAGCAAAGGAAGAAAAATTTTAAATAAGCATTTTCTTTCTCATGTTAAGAATATATCATGATTAGCATATTGAGAGAAGAGAAGGGATATTATTACAGAAAAAGTTGAAGCAGGGCAGTGAAGAGGAGGAAGGAAAGCCATGTCTGTAGGAGAGGACAGTGCATTCTGTGCTGACGGTTACTAAAGAAGGCAAGGTCAAGAGAAGAAAGCAGGAGAGAAATGGTGAGATCAAAGTGCAGGTTTGCAAATGTGGACTTCAGTCCTGTGGCCTCTGTCCCTCTGCATACATGTCAGGGAATGCATTTTGAAAGTAAAGAGTGGAAAGCAGATTTAATTAGCTTATTTCACTTTATTTTCTTCCATAACTTTAGTAAATACAGAAAAGATAAAATAGCAACAGAGGGCATGGCCATTGAAATTAGAATTAAGCAGTGAAACCTCTTGTTAATGATTTGTTTAACCACCTATGAGAGAAATCATTTAAAATAACATAAAACTGGAAAACAATAAAGATTTAAAAAATCCTACAAAACTATAATGCAGATGTGATGGCATGAATTCCCTCATTAGCATATGAAATGACTTCTTCAGATATAGTTCTACCTCTTTGAGAAGGTCAGATTTCCGAGAAGATACTAGAGATCTACTTCAAGAATTTGCTTGGGGAGGAAAATTATCCAAATTGTATTTTTACTCTTAATCAAAATCTGGGCATCCATATGAAGCAGAAGGAAAGCAGGCCATGAAGTGGAAGGAGGATGACAGATGTCACGAGAAGTTCTAAGTGCAGCAAATGTCACTCAGGAGGCACTCTTTAAGTACGTACCATGACAATGGAATCTGCACTGAGTACATGTTACCCAGCTTTAAGGATCACCCGTGAACAAGTTACCTGCTTATCCAGAAAAATGAGCTGTGGTTGTACTGGAAGTTCTTTCCCCACTTCTCCATCTGAAGGCTGGACTAGGACTGAAAGAGCATAGGGCCGAACATATATCGAATTTCCAGTTTTAAAATTGCTTGTATTTCTGGCACATGTAAAACAAAATGGAATAAAGCCATAAGCTTACAAATATTACTGTAGTAGCTATTTGCCATACTCCATTATTAGCAGTGAAAATATCTGCCTTTGAATCTAGAAAATAATACACTTTGTAGTGAACATTACATTGTAACTGAATAATAATTATATTTTTATTTAACACTAGAGGCCTGGTGCTTGATTTTGATGGGGGCCGATTGGGTTGGGTTGGTGGGGGGAGGGGATGCGGGAGATTGGACACCCCCGCCCCCAATAGGGGATTGCCAATCAGGAACGGGGACGGCGGGGGTGGGGGTGGGGGAGCACAGGTGGTGTGCGTCATAGCGACTGGTTTTTCTGGTCATTCCAGTCGATCTGTAGTTCTGGTTGTTTGGCTTTTATATATATAAATTTTTGCTAAGCCATGGTAAAGAATGGACTGGGTGTGAGGGGGTGGGGGCAGAAGCGCTAATTATGAACTTATATTTTTATCACAGTTTAATGATATAAGCTCCCCAAAGACCCCAGTGAAGGAATTTAGCAGATTATAAAACTTAGACAGTGGGGATGTGTTTAGTAGTATGCTAGTGAACCAGCTCTCCCCTCAAAGACCCTGATGCCTAGTGTTTTCCAGTTCCCATGGTATGAATACTTTCTCCACGGCTGATTCTGGTACCATAATGACATCACTGGGAGCTGAAAGGAGATGCCTGAGAGCAAAGCCCCAGCACAGCTGTTAGATATGGAATAGCTCATTTAGTCCCCACAGTAGCCCTTCCATACTTGTCATCTCCATACTGTGCTTGCACTAAATAGGTTAAATAACCATGGAATTAACTGATTTTTTAAAATTTTAATGAATGAAGCCTTTGGGGAGAATAATACTCATAATTAATATATGTTGAGTACTGTGTACCAGCAGTATAGGTATTATTCTAAGCTTTCCTTGTATAAACTCATCGCATCTTTAAAATGACACTATGAGGTAGGTACTCTTATTTATACATGAAGAAACTGAGGTCCAAAAGGACTAAAGTAACCTGCCAAAGGTCTTACAAATAGTACGTGCATGACCAATACCTAGAGCAATTTACCAATGAGCTATATTGTTTCTCACCCCTTTCAGGCACATTAATTGCTGATGTGACTTAGCAATAAAATAGAATAAATAAAATAAAATGGTTATATAATTCATGATACCTTAAAACATGTTTTTCCAATAGCTTTGGTATTTTTGATGACCAAGATAGCTTTATTAAAAGAACATTATAGCCCTGGCCAGTGTGGCTCATTTGGTTAAGTGTCATCCCATGCACCAAAAGGTCACCTGTTTGATTACCAGTCAGGGCACATACCCAGGTTGCCTGCTCGATCCCCAGTAGAAAGCATGCAGGAAGCAGCTGATTGATGCTTCTCTCTTATCGATGTTTCTCTTTCCCTCTCTCTTTCTCTCTCTCTCTCAAATTAATAAAAACATTTAAGAAAAAACTATTATAGATTATATATCTTCTAGAAGCCCAATACATGGGATTCGTGCACTTGTTGGGGCATGGCCTGCAGGGATAGGCCTGCTGTGGGAGCAGTGCTCATCCCCAAGTGACTGTGGACCCACCCTCTGAGTGGCTGCTCCTGCTCTGGGAGCGCACTGACCACCAGGGGGCAGCTCCTGTGTTGAGCGTCTGTCCCCTGGTGGTCAGTGTATGTCATAGTGATTGATCGACCAGTCGTTCTGGTCATTCCACCCTTCGGTTGCTGGGCTTTTATTATTTAGGATCAAGCCTATTATGTACTATACATCATAGGCATATAACAGATTTTTAGCAATTAAATGGAAATCTAAAAGATAAACATCATATATCACATATATTACCCTAATATAGAACATCCCATAGTGACTTATCCTCTATACAACTTAAGTCTAACAAAAAAAGATTTGATTTTTTTAAAGAAGTAGCTTATCCTGCCATCAATTGAATGCTTGAATCAGATACTTTATTCCCAATCTTTTATTTTAATTTGTGTATGTATGTGAGGAGAAAAGAATAAAATATTTATTGGGGATGGAAGGCGTATGTCAGATAAAAGTGACAATCAACCCTAGAAAGAGGAAATATGGTGGATCACGAACTATGAAGTTTCTGTAGGAAGCAATTTCCCTCCCCCCGAGAATTCTGGGATATGGGGCAGAGTAGTCTTAAGAGCCCCCTTTGGTCATCTCCCAGCTAAGGCTCTGACCTGTGCTACAGTCGCTCACTGGAAATTGAACATACAATAGCCATATCACCATTTATTAGTTTGCTTAACCTGAGTGGGCAAGGCCCCCTTTTAATTTTTTTTAAAGGAATAATTTAAAACAGATATAAAAAAATCTATGCTATTAAAAAATTACTTCTATTCTTCTATGGGTCCCAGGTTATTGGAAAATTCTAACATTGTTACCAGCTCCTATTTCTCCCCTAACCTAGTTCTTAAATGCTTTCGGGTGCGGGACAGAATTTAGGCCAGCAGCGTGGGCTAAAGAAACTGAAAGGCTCCGTCAAAGATCCTGACACAAGAACACTGATGTCTGCAGACGAAGGGACGGGAACCAACTGCCTGAACACCCGCTGAAAGGCCTGCCCCTGACACACGTTAAAGTTTATTGTGAGCAAACATCTCTTATTAAATGTAAACAGCATCTCACTGGAGGTCAGAGACTTGCTGCTACAGCATATCCCAAGGTAATACCCCTTTAAGCTCCACATAAACTCTTAAGCAGTTTCTATCCTAAAACCTGACCGTAGGTGGTACAGTTTTTTACGATATGTTATAATAGTGCAATAAATCTGTTAGCTTAAAATCGAATCTCCGTGGCCTTTTAGAGAAATCATCATTAAATGCAGGGTCCTGTTAATGATGCCATCGAAGTGGAATTGTTTAATCTGCTAAGGGGGTGAAAGGTCACCAAATGAATTTTTTATAATACATCAACTTGACACGCAATAGGGAAAACTGTAATAGATAAAAGCAAAGGAAAAGGGCACTGTCTTCTCCTGATAGGTCAATAGCAGCCAAGAGAGTCACTCATCCACTTTCCTTTCACGATGGGGCTCCTTTTGCATTTAATATGGACACCCAATTAATACCTCAGCACCACAGACAACCTCATTTTAGGTGACTTATAGCAATTTCTCCCCCTTCCCTGAAATGAAAGTGATCACAATACATCATAGCATTGTGCGAATTAACGTTAATTGATTCAAGTTACCAAGCAATGATGGGCCACTTATATAATCTAGGCGTTATTGGGTGCTAGAAGGGATGGAGGGAAGATTAGATTCCAGTGTCCGTTGCTGTGACGACGGGAGTCACCTGACACCTTGTTAGACAGTTGTAAGGTTCTATTGCTGGCCCCAGTGGGGTCGTCAGTAAACTGGAGTGATGTCCAAACATCATTATACGCTGCTCCGATATTAAAGCAAAGGGATTAGCAACTTATTGCAAGCAACCTGGATTTGTCATTGTGCTGTCCTTATCCAATTTCCAACCACTAATGTGACTGTAGCCTGCAGGCAGAAAGACCTACAGCCAAACTTTAAAAAATGGGGGAGGAAAGTTCCCTCCAATCCTCCCAGTTCTAACCACTAGTTAACAGCTTCCAACACCCAGTCCAGTGTGTGAAAGAATCCCCCCACCCCTTTCAAGGCTCAGTGTAAACTAAAAGAAAGATAAAGAGAATTCAGAAATTTCCCAGTTCAGAAATCACCACTATGCATCTCAACCCTTGCTTTTCAATTTGCCAGATCCGAACTGCTTACCCTCTAAGGGGGTGGGAGTGGGGGGTTATTTATATTTGCATGACAAATCCAGTAAATAAATAAATCCTATTGGTGAAAGCTGGCTCTGGGCAAGACCTAAGGTGCAGGCATTGCGGGGGGGGGGCGGGGGGGGGTGTTGAGGGGGTAGAGATACTTCCTCACTCCCTTTGCCTCTTCAACATTACTAAATCAGGTTCCTATAAAAGAGCCCCATGTTTTAATGAAGTGTGTCAGAGTGTCCTGAGCATTTCCATCATTTTTTTTTAAATTATGCCACTAAAACCCCCACACAATTTAAAATCTATGAATTGCTTATTTATGGAATTCTTTATTAAATATTTTGGACCACGATTGACCACGGTTAACTGAAACCTCAGAAAGCAAAACCATGAATGAGAGGGGACTACTGCATTTTATAATCCTTATGTTCCCTATCAAACCTAGCCAGATGCCCTTAGCTGCTGTGAACCTCTGAGAGAGAAGAAATGTTTTATGATCCCAGTGTTTCCTTCCTGCACGATAGCATAGCGGTTCCAGACCTGGCACATTGCAAGCACCCAATACATATTACTATAGTAACATGTATAGTAACTAGGACAGATCAGTACCCACCATGCACTACTTCTGCTCTTAGGTCATTAAACGCCTCTGGAAAGCCACTACCTATGTTGGCCTGGCTAACTTCAAGTTTTGGCACACTCCTCAGGTGGTGTGCTTACTGCTATGTTCTAACACCTATTATTAAATTCTTGAGGGTCTTTGGAATTATTCAATTCAAATCAAGATTTGAGATTTGAGTAACTCTAGGTGGAGGTTGCAGTGTGCCAGGGGTATGTACAGACACAGAGTAAACACAGCATGTCTTCCCACAAGGTCAAATCAGAGGTCAAAACCTAAGTATTTTAGTTAGTACATCATTTAAAATAATGTTTTATAATAAATACAGCATAAATATCTGGAAACTCTGAACACATTTTTAAGATATTACACAAAAAATTTAAAATTTTCAACATTGGGGTGCTATAGCAATCAAATTCGGACAAGGAAAACAAATCATTTAAGATTTTTCTGATGAGCCAAAACCGGTTTGGCTCAGTGGATAGAGCGTCGGCCTGCGGACTGAGGGGTCCCGGGTTCGATTCCGGTCAAGGGCATGTACGTTGGTTGCGGGCACATCCCCAGTGGGAGATGTGCAGGAGGCAGCTGGTCG